CCCCGGCTCTGTACCCGGGCCCTGGCCCCTCCAGCACCCCCCAGCCAGCAGGGGTTTATTAAACAGCCCAGGAGCTGCCTCAGACAAATGTGGCTGTCAGGGCTCTTCATAAACAACAGCCACAGCCTGCAGGAGATGGAGATTAAGGGCATCGTGGAGGTGACTTCTCAGGGTTGTTTACAATCCCCAAGGGAAACATAATCAAGAGATCCTGGGCAGGAGGGAGAGGGCTCAGGGTGGTGGGTAAGGAGGGAGAGGGCTCAGGGTGGTGGGTAAGGAGGGAGAGGGCTCAGGGTGGTGGGTAAGGAGGGAGAGGGCTCAGGGTGGTGGGTAAGGAGGGAGAGGGCTCAGGGTGGTGGGTAAGGAGGGAGAGGGCTCAGGGTGGTGGGTAAGGAGGGAGAGGGCTCAGGGTGGTGGGTAAGGAGGGAGAGGGCTCAGGGTGGTGGGCAAGGAGGGAGAGGGCTCAGGGTGGTGGGCAAGGCAGGGGCAGCGAGTTTTGCTGTGTGGGAGAGGGCTGGGGTGCAGGCTGGGAACTGTGGGGCAGGGGGGGGAAGCTGTGGCAGGGGAGCCAGGACCTGCCCCCAGGCAGGGAGGGATGCACTGACTCTGGGGTTGGCAGTGGGGTGTCCTGCAGCAGCACCTGAGGAGCTGCACCCCAGGGGTGGTGCTGGCAGAACCCGAGCCCCTGATGCATTCCTGGGATCTGGCAGGAGGGTCTCCTAACAATACCATGTCATGGTCTAGTTCTGATCCAGCCTCTATCCACGGGGTCAGGAACATCCTCAGTCCTGGCCCCAGGCTCAGGCCACTCTCAATTTGCTCTTTTCTGGCTACCTCAGGAGAAAGACCTGAGGCCAGAGGAGGGACAGGCAGATGCTGCACACACTGGTCTGCCATTCAAGGGCAAAGGAAGAACCGTGACTGGAGCTTCATTAAAGCAGAACAGGGAACCCACCTCTTCAGCACAGCCTTGCTTTGCACAGCAGAGATAACAAGCCCAGGCTCAGACATCTCAGAGCAGAGGTCCCCCAAGCAAGACAACAGCAGCAGCAGCTGTCAGTGCCCAGGACTTTCTTAGCCTCGCACCATTTTATCCCCACAGCTTCTGCACATCTAATTAAGGGCTCAAGTCTAATTATAGCCCTCCCTGCTTGCTAGGGTGCGAGGGGAGGTGTGTACCAGGAGGAGCAGGGAAGGAGGCCATGAAGTGATGCTGTTCAGGGCTGTCTGGGTGTCTGGAGGGATAAGGAAGAGTGTCAGGAGCTGCAGAAGCAAGACAGCTCTGAATTAGGTTACTGCATCTCTTCTTTCAAGCAGGTTAGCTGGGAGAGAGCTGATCCCTCCCTTTTGGGGCAGATGTGAGTGCCAGGCATTTACATCATGGCCTCAGCCCCTGCTTGCAGCAAAAGTTTCTAGCAATTGTGGCTGCAGGGTGAGGAGGAAAAGAGCTTGAATGTGACCTTAACGGAGCTGAGGACACGGACACCTGAAGGGGCTGCCCCGTGGCAAGGGGAGCTGTTTAGGGAGGATGCAGCAGGAAATGCCTGCGGGGTGATCACCAGGAGAATGTTCCTCCTCGCCCCAGCGGCAGGGAATTCACCCCTGGGTGAATCCAGTGTCACTCCATCAGGCTTGCAAACGCCTGCCCGTCAGCAGCTCTGCCTGCCTGTCCCTGCCCGGCCACCCTGGCACCAGCTGCTCCGGGTTTGTGCCTCCAGCTTTGCCTCTCCCCGGCAGTGCCCACGGGCAGAGCCTGCCCCAGCCTGCAGAGCCTGCTCTGTTTGCAGAAGGGATGTGCCCCCTTTGGCTCAGGGAGATGTTAACCCTAAACCTCCCTGCTGAGACCTTGAAAACTGCACCCAGGAGAAGGCTGTGGGTCCAGGAGCAAAGGATGGTTCTGGAGAGGCATCAAACCCCCCTGCCACCTTTTGGGCAGGCAGGAGAAGACCCCCTGCTTCCACACTCTCTCCCTTAACCACAGACGTGTCACCCCTCCCCATCTCATGCAAACACCTTTCCCCTCAGATCAACCTTTCCTTGTGCAAAGTTATAAATCTCTCTTCAGATCCGATGGAATGACGAGGTGTTATTAATCCTGCAGGAGCAGATGGGGGAAGTAACACAGACAAAGGGGCAGGAACTTTCCACACCTCAGCACACCCAGGGGAAGGCTGGGGGGGCTGGACTGGAGATGCTTGAGGGCAGCACCGGCCCCACGGGCTCCAGACCCACCCCAGCCCCCAGCAGGGGCCCCGGGGGCTCCTTCCCCTTCATTCCTGCGGTTGTTGAGCTGGTTGAACTGCTCCGTGAACTCCGTCAGTGACTCCTCGATGGTCTCCGTCCGTGGAACCGAGAGGGAAAACCTCCGCTTGAAGTTTTTCATCTTGTTCATCGTCTTTCGTGCCGAGAGGGACGGCAGAGCCCTGCGGGGAGGGGAGAGGGCAGGCTGGGAGGGCTGGGGGATGCACAGGACAACCCCCCGGACCCACAGCTCCTGCTCCTTGGGGCTGGCAGCGCCCCGACCTGAACGTCCCCTGCTGGGGTCCTCGGGACATCCTCCTCTCCCTCCTCCTCTCCCGGGCACCGCTGCCGTGTCAGGGCAAAAGAGGAGCCACGTGCTCACCAGGAGAATCAGATTCCTCCGGAATTCAAGAGCTGACTGTGGTCAAGAGGTGCAGGGGGGCTTTTTCTGAGCTCGTTATCAGAGATGAGCCCAGGG